GCTAATGGAAAGGAGATTAAAGGATGAACCAGGGACATAAAGCACATTATCAATAATAATGGAGGGAAAGAGATGTACTATTCCAATCCCATGAGACTGAACCTGGGAACCATTTGCCATAGTGATAGCAGGAAAATAATCAAAGGTAGAAAGAGAGGAAAACAAAGATTTATTATCAGAAATATGATCAGATGCACCAGAATCAAGAACCCAATGATCAAATGATGAACTTTGAGTGAAACCAGCAACACTATTACCTGTATGCACAACAGTAGCAGTGGAACCAGGGATCGTGAGCTGAGAAATATCTTGAGGAAGGATAAATGAGCTAGAATCAACCTTGAATCAAGAACAATTTGCTGAAACAAAGATGTCGTGAACAGTAATGAAAAGAGGAGAAATGCTTCGGAAGGGCCGCAACGGACTCGGAACCACAAGTTAAGGATCGATCTGAACACAGAAGGATAGGGTGATCCTGACGGTGGAAGTCGTGCGTATGTTTCACGCGCGTGAGGGTGCGTAAGTGAGAATTTGGGAGCAGGCCTTGGACGGAAAGAACTTCCTCCTTGTGACGATCACAACTGTGGGTGACTCGTTGAAAAATGTGCTGAAAAAGTGATCGGTAGTGGCGGTCAACAGCGGTCAAACGGTGGTCCACTACCCTGGCAACCTCTGATGACGGTGGGTCTTGCGACGTTGGGTTGATCGACTTCTTCTGAGTCCGTTGATGTACTTTTTATCAGAACGATCGCTGAAAAAAAAATTCAGTGGAAGACGGTGGTGGCAGACGCTGGCCGAAAACTGACGACGGTGACAGTTTCCGGGAAGATTTTTACTCAGTAGACAGTGGGTCTACCGGAAAGATGCGGATCTAATTAGGCTTTAATACCATGTTGAATATATGTTGAGACATATAAAACCATTAATGTAGCCTCACCCAAAAGCTTAAGCTTTTGGGTTGAATTGGTTCTTTACATGGTATCAGAGCCTCGTGTCTCGGGTTCGATCCTCGTCGTCCCTCATTTTCTCTTACCAAATTTCTTAGCACAGGTAGGCTGGGCCTGTTGCATCATCCACCTTTCAAGCCTAATAGGCTCTCTTGTGAGGGGGGCGTTGAGACATATAAAACCATTAATATATAACCTTACCCAATCGATTAAGCTTTTAGTTAAATTGATTCTTTACAAATAGCAATGTCTTCACAGTTTAGAGTCACTATCCCGTATAGGATAAGAGGCAAAAAAACAATAAGCACCGCTATTTGTCACCTAGAAGTTAGTCCTACTATACACATTAAATATGAAGGCAATTAAACATGAAAAGTAAAGGAACAAAACTTCCTACTAATTGAGCAGGCACCTATACTTCTGATTTGATCTGAACCATTTTCTTCTGAATCATCTATCTGCAACTGCCTCTGAAAGGCAAATGGAGGTGGTGGGGGATCAACATTCAATGTACCATCAAGTACTCTTGCTACCTCCCCCATTGAAGGTCTCCTACGTTCATCCATTTGAAGGCACCAGAATGCAATTCGTAATGCACGCACCAGTTGTAACCACCTTCCATTCTTTTATCAACCACATTAGCTACCCTCTCTTCCATCCATTCTTTATATGCCCACTCACAAAGTTCCACGTGTACGTGATCACGAGACGCGGTTATCATAGTTAAAACTAACTTGCCAAAATCCTCTACATCCTTCTCAGCTGAAAAGCCACAATATGTTGCGTTACCATCTACCCTAGCAAACCCAAATTCAGTCACCTTGGCACCTAAGTTTTCATCCAACCTTAACATTTTCACATTTATGGCTTATAAACTCCCTACACCCAGAGTGCAAATAAGAGATGGCCTTTGCCACACTTGGCACGTAGTAAAAAAGCTGTGACTTTTAGAATTTGTTTATTCTATGTTTGGTAAGAAAGGAACGATAAACTAATAATTTTTTATTTTTATTTTTTGGAAAATAAACCAATAAACTAATAAAATTTAAGTTGTCTCTTGTTGGTTGGCACCCAGCAGTTGTCTGTATGGTGTTTAATAATACAGATCACGTATCTTACGATTGAAAGTTGTGATCTTTGTTCCATCCACAATCTGCGAAGACTAGTTAATTACCTAATTATTCTGGAAAGAAAAGTAAAATTACCTAATGTACTATATAATTAATTAATATAGCTTTTGCTTTTGGTGGGTTGGTTGAGAATTCTAGCTCATGCAAAATTAATTAATGAATTCTTACAATCAGCATGGCCCAAAACAAAAAGGACAAAGCACCTCAAACAATATCAACAAGTAGTTTATGGACAAGAAGCTCACCTAAAAAATATGTGCATATATTTCATGACCCAATCAAAAAATGTAAATAAGATATAAAAACCAGTACCCATCAAAGTCCGTACAACTCATACATAATTCACAACTCCTAATTAACAAATTCTTAAGTCCTATATAAAAGAATCATCTCTGTGTGTGTGTGGTCGTATTCTATGTATAAGAGGCTGGAGTTCACGCCCTAGAGGCTAAAGCTGATGTGTCGTCCCAGTCCATCAAAACTAAATATCATGATGTTTCTTTTTGCAATAGGATTCCACCAAGGATTGCTCCCAAATAGGTCCTTAGTCGTCCAGGATTGACAAATTAATCTAAAACTTCTGCCCCAATTTTGAAGTTAACGTGTAAATTTATTTTATTATAAGATCAAATTATATATATCTTTGCGGCATACTTTTAGAAAAAAAATTTATACATTATCATGATTGTGCATCATTAAAAAATTTAATATATGAAATAATTGCTACTCTAATTTATTTATTTATTTATTTTATCTTATGGCACAAAATGAGGGCTTTGCTAGTTGCTACTATAATTTAGTTTTGTCGTTAAACCAGACAGGCTAGCTGATCTAACCTTGAATTGGACATCTACCAAATTATAATTCAGTTTCATAGTCGAACTCATAGTTAGACTATTTGAAATAGTCAAATTAATCAAAATATTATTGAACCAGTCAAATAACTAGTTGAACAAACTGCTAATTACTTTTTTATTACAAAAACTTTAATATTTCTCATATTTCATAAACACTTATATATTCCTTATTATAGTAAACGTTTATGATGTTATTAATTCAATCATACAATTTAAACTAAAACTAAAAGTTACACCAGTTCATTGTATGATCTGTTTTTAACAATATTACTATAATGAAACTCTTTCAATGATATAATTGATCAACAAACAACAGGCAATCATGAGTTTCACATTTACCTGAATAGTAGCAGTGAAATTCCAATCCAATGCTACGTTCATATTATACACTTAAAAAAATAAAAAAATAAAACAAGCAATCCCAATCCAAACTTATTTAAAGGGTGTTGGTAAAAGGAAAATAGTTAGAATCTTGGGAAAGTGGGAATGAGAATCCGATTTGTCCATTTTAATAAAAGGATTGTAAATTTTTTTTTTGAAAAAATCAAATTCTCATAATTTCAATTTGTGAAGCATAATCTTATGTAAAAATACCACATGAGGGGTGGTATTTTGAAATTTCCAACCAGTGGAAATATTTGGCACAATTTTTATGACAAAATTAAACCCTCTCTTCTACTTTTGTTGTTCTTTCTGATTTGACCCAACGCTTTTTTAAATGATCTGTTACTTTATGCTCTCCATCGCTAACAAGGATACGCTGTAGTTCTTTGAAGTACAAGACAGGGCAATGTAGGCATATATCTGGAGTACTCTTTTGTTAATTTATTTTATTTTTTTAATTTCTCTTACTCTCTTTTTTTATCTGAATACACTAAAATCAATGTGTGTCCATATATCTAGAGTACTCTTTTGTTAATTTATTTTATTTTTTTAATTTCTCTTACTTTTTTTTTATCTGAATACACTAAAATCAATGTGTGTTCATTAATGGCGGATTGAGCTCTCGCGATTAATTGAGGTTTTTTGTTTTGTTTTTTTTTCATGAATGATGTTAATTTCTTCTTAGAGAGACCCCACGTCCCTAATAATATTTGACAATCAATCATAATATCCCATTAGTCGACTTTTAAAATCAGAAAAGAATTAAAAAAACTACCACTATATGACGCCCACCGTGGGGCTCGAACCCACCAACACAAGGTTATGAGCGTTAGCGCCCTACCAACTGAGCTAAACGGGGTACTTCTAAAAGAAAAATGTAATATGCATCCTACAAACGTGAGAACTATTTTACCACAACAACCGAAATCATTTTCTGTACATCTGTAATAAGTACATCTGTTATTTAACAAGTGACACTTAAATAAGAAAAATATTTTTCTCTCCTTTTCATACAAGCATGATAGTCATTCCTCATTTTTTATTGGATAAATACACTGAATGAATAGTACAGCAGTAGTACCATAAATATTTCTTACAACAGCTAGCCAGCTGAACAATCCAAAGTAACAGGACTGGACCCACAAACTTAACAATAGGCTGTAGGCAGTGTAGCCCAATGGACACATAAAGTAGCCAACCCATTTTTTAATATATTGATGAAAATTGAATATATAACCTAATAAAAACCATCTAAACCCCTCACTACTAGACCAATCCTAGAGGTTTATAGCCAACCCATTTACCTCTTTTAAGATTAGAAAACAGGTTGAACCACAGATTTTTCTAGGCAAGTTACAAGGTTGGATTACTATGCGACCAGAATTTTGTACAAGCAGCTATGATTTGACAACATTTCAGCCATCAGTTCTTATGCTTAGTTTTTCAAACACAAGAAAAATATAGAATATCAATATTTAATAATTAATACTACAGCCTTAAAATTAAAAAGTTTGTCTCAAATTAACATCCATAAAAAATAGTTGTAATGAAACCCAGAATGTCATCTAACAAGAGTACGTAAGGAGCACATCATTGCAAGCATCAATACTAGAAGATACACTAACTAGAATGGAATGCACCAAGATTATTATTGAAAACTGAACTCCTATCTTAGCCTACTATGTCCTCCCAAGTTACAATAATCAATATCCACACATAAAAAACATAATGCTCATTCTAAAGGATGTGCTCAAGTGGATAGACATAAACAAGTCAAAAGCCGCATATCAGAACTGAACAGCAATATCTTCAGAGTTTACAGTCACCTAGAAGTTAGTCCTACTATACACATTAAATATGAAGGCAACTAAACATGAAAAATACAGGAACAAAAGTTCCTACTAATTAAGCTGGCACCTATGCTTCTGATTCTGAACCATTTTCTTCTGAATCATCTATCTGCAACTGCCTCTGAAAGGCTAATGGAGGTGGTGGGGGATCAACATTCAATGTACCATCAAGTACTCTTGCTACCTCCCCCATGGAAGGTCTTCTACGTTCATCCATTTGAAGGCACCAGAATGCAATTCTTAATGCACGCTCCAGTTCCTGTGAGTTGTAACCACCTTCCATTCTTTTATCAACCACATTAGCTACCCTCTCTTCCATCCATTCTTTATATGCCCACTCACAAAGTTCCACGTGTTCGTGATCACGACACCCGGTTATCATAGTTAAAACTAACTTGCCAAAATCCTCTACATCCTTCTCAGCTGAAAAGCCACAATATGTTGCGTTACCATCTACCCTAGCAAACCCAAATTCAGTCACCTTGGCACCTAAGTTTTCATCCAACATAACATTTTCACATTTCAAATTTCCATGGCTTATGAACTCCCTACACCCAGAGTGCAAGTAAGAGATGGCCTTTGCCACACTTGAGCATATTTCAACTCTCTTTCTCCAAGTTAGCTTCCTGCAAAGGGCAGAATCATCTATGTACTTGTCCAATGAACCATTTTTGGCATATTCATACACCAGAAATCTATGATCAAACTCACAGCAATAACCCTCAAGCTTCACAAGGTTCTTGTGGTGGATGCTACCCATCTTCAGAACAGCACTCCGGAACTTCCTTTCTTCTATGGATGCATTCAGGTCTTTAACAGCAATCTGGTGATTGTTTGGTAGCAAACCCTTGAACATCTTTGGCCCGATTTGATTCTTGAAATCCCCTGTGAGGCTCTTGATTTCTGAGAAGGACAACACAATTAAACCCTTTGAGTTTGGACTTGTGAAAGCTAAAGTGACTTTTTTCCTGGTAGAGCTTTTTCTTCTGCAGATGAAGAACACAATTCCCAACTGGAGAATAACGAAGATGAAAAATGTGGCTGTGGCAGCTCCTATTAGACAAGGAACACATAGCCTAGGAGGCAGCTCGGATGGAGGAGATTTTGTTAGATTGGGATTTACAGCAAATGGACCTGAGCATCTCTTAACAAATGATGTTGAGCTTACAGATGGATCTTCATAACCAGTGACATACTCAGTTTTCTTTATCGAGCATTGCGGAGTTCTACTATTAGAAAAGGTTGCAACCGTACATTGTGTGTCATTCAGGCACAACTGTTCACATTGCTGCAAACTACTTGTGATAACAGTATCATCAGGAGGGTAGATTCCATATAGATAAATGTTCTTATATGCTATCATACTGGAGCCAGATTCACACTCCTTTTCATATGGAACCAAACATTTGTTAGTCCCAGTTACCTCAAATGGGCATCTGCAATCAGCCGAACCTGAATCATTGAAGACACAGACACCAAGTTGACCACAAGTTGCAAAGACCTTGCACTGATTCTCAACTGCTTGCCACACTGATCTCCATGATCGCGTAGTTTCAACCCATGAATATAAGCGGAGATTGCCATCCCCATCAAGCCTAAGATATCTGTAACTGACAGAGTCATTGTGATCATCTCCAAACACAGACCAAACAGGCTTCAAACTTCGGTCTCGCAGTTCAAAAGCTCCACTGGTTGTAAGAAAAGCACTGAGATTTGAAGCAGAAGGGTTTTCACTTGTCCAGTAGATAACATTACTTTCCCAGTGTAGCTCTAAATGACCTGAAGCATTCATATGAAGACTATAGTAACTGGACTCGGGATCCTTGCTTGCAGCTCGAAGTGAATTAGGAGCAACTAAACTCTGTCCTGGGAGAAGTGTATCAGATGGATTATCAAAACTTTGCCAAATGATGTTTTGATCTCTGTCCATTAGAACAAGATTTCCACTGTCATGAAGAGCAGCTGAAGAAACAGATCGGTTTCTTGTTGGACTAGTCCAAACAGAACCTTCTTTTAAGGAATCAAACAGGACCAGTTCCCCTTCCTGTGTGAGTTCAAAATAGGACATGTCACCAACTGTGACATGAGCACCAGCAACCCAGACCACAGTTTGTTGGCTATATGGAATAGACTTGGAATTGAAACGAATACCAACACTAAACTGGTTAGGTTGATCTGAAATGTTGAAGAATCCTAATGCAAAATCACCATTGGAAGAAACCCAATAATCATTGTCAACCACAGAAAGTTTGGAACCCAATGGAATCTCAGCAATCACAACAGAATGTATCAAGAAGCCAATGAAGATACAAAGCAAGAAACGTGATCTAAGGAGACACTCATCCTGTTCAAGCATATCTAAATATGCTGAGAGGGGCAAATTAAATTATAAAAATCAATCCTATTCTCCAAGTCTCAGTTACACGTGAAAGATACTGAACTCCATCACAATAATCATCACAAACACCTGCAAAGAGAGAAGCTAAGATAGAGGTTTTGCTCAAGCCCCAAAGTGTTATTCAGAGGCACAATGTAAAAGAACTCAAAAAAACACAATTTCTACAAATATTAGGTAAAGAATGACGACAAATTTGAAGGGCCAGGAGAAAATTTCAAGAGATCCAAGTGGGGTAGAAAAACAAAAAGAGTTTGGTACCTGAAATGATAGTCAAAAGCTCAGAAATTCAAGAAGCCACCAGATACAATAAGCATCACAAAAGCTTGGCAATTCCCCCATAAACAAATTGACAAGGTAGCATGATAGATTTGACAAAGCAACTTGAAATTGAGACTTAGCAGCAAAACGAAGATAGGAACCCTTCTTATTCTTGTGCAAAATATCAGGACAAAAAAATAACGTTTGAGCAATAAAAATTGAAACTGTCGACAGAAATGGGGCCCAAATTAGGCCAATGAGGAACCGGTTTTCCAGCATGCAATAACTTTTCAGGGTTCCAAGAGACAAAAGAGTTTTCAAAGTTGGATATGATATTGCAGCAAGACAACCTTGAATGTTGCAAAAATCTAGATATCAAGACCCCAAGAAAATGAACAAGGAATAAAAGCTAATTTCCAACTATGCAAACCTCAAATTGGCACAAAATCAATTATAGCTGAAAAGAGTTTGCTTGGCATTTTTGGATGTAAAGAGAGAGAGAAAGATCTGAATAAAACAAGGGCAGAAGAATTGGTGAATGTTGAACTTGAATGCACCAAATCCCAGCTCTCAATGCATATTTTCTTTCTATTTTGGCACAAAAAATGAAATAAAAATAAAAATCCAGCACCCAAATTAAGAAAGGAGAAGAGAGAGAATTGCACACTTGAGAAATGAAGAATGCACTAGCGAAGTGGCTTGACTAGTTAAGAAAAAGCACATCAAGTTGAAGAGTGTGAATCTCTCTTAATTGTGTGGACACCAAAGTGGTAGAAATGGGGTGGTTTTGCTGTATGTTGCTAAGTTTAGATTTGGAGCAAGAAAGGAAATGTAAGAGTGAGAAAAAAAAAGAAAAAAAAAAAGAGAGGAAATTTGAGCAAATGGGGTTACAGAGCTATGGAGTGAAGAAACAATGTGCAAGTAAGATTCCAGAAAAAAAAAAAGGAAGGAGAAGAAGAGTAAACGGTAAAGAAAACCTGATAACTCAGAACAGAATACGAGGTGGTCTGTGTAAGAAAGCAAGGCTCTAGCTGGAGTTAAAGAAAAAAGAGTTCAAAAGGAATTTTACTTTATTAAATTATTTTTTTATGAAATAAGATATCAAGAATCAATTAGAGTTATTATCAATATTGCTATTAATCAATTTTATTATTAGATTATTATATTGCTCCGATAATTATATTTTTTATTTTTGTATAGTTATAATTATTCGTATTTATTGTAAAAATATTAAATATAGAAAATCATAATCAAAGTGAAAATAAATATAAAGTATTAAATATGAGAATCATAACTATACAAATATGAAAATAAATAGAGTAAATATCATTTTTAGTCCTTAACAAAAAACACGGTCCCCACTTTAGTCCCTTACAAAAATAAATTAGTCAGTTAGTCCCTAACAAATTCAAAGTGGACCCGTTTTAGTACTTTTGAGGGACTAATATGGGTCTTTTTTGAATTTGTGAGGGACCACGATTTCAACTAAACGGGTCCACTTTGAATTTGTTAGGACTAACTGACTAATTTATTTTTGTAAGGGACTAAAGTAGGAACCGTGTTTTTTGTTATGAATCAAAAAAGATCTTTATTCAAATAAATATAATCGTTGAATCAACATAATCGATCTAATGATCAAATTCGTAATAATTGTTATATTATCTTACTGTTGCACCTTCTTTTACTGTGCTCGTTTCTCTTTCGTTAGGCTTATGGAAAAGGAAAATAATTTTTTTATTACAAATTTAAAATTAAGAAAATAAAATATGGAAAGGGAAAATATTTAAAAAAAGGACGTGTTTTGCAAAATCCTTTTTCCACAAAATTCAAAGACTTTAGGGAAAATTGTGGTGTGTTCTTCTTTGTAGTTATTTTTTTTTCCTAATTGATTATTTTATTCTATTTTTATTGTGAAATGGTTTTCATTGATATTCAATAGGCCACGTTTCAGCAAATTGATTGATGAGTCGTGGAAATCTTAGAGTGGGGGGGGACCTATGAGATTTTCTCCCAAGTTGCTAGTGTTGAACCAATTAAGGAGGTCAATCCTTAAAAACTGTTGGCATATATTTGAACCATCTTTTCCTTCTTAGCATTAAATTTTTTTGCATAATATCATTTTAAATATTAGTAAACAAAAGTTGATATTATGACAAACATTTATCACAAAACTTTTTTCATTTAAATATATGTTCTTTATTTGAAAGTTGATAACATATTTTATGTTTTTAAACACATATATTATATCCATTTAATTTTAACGTGGCAGATAATGTGATAAAATCAAAAGGGCATAAAGTCATTTACCAAAAAATGGTATAAAAATTAAACAAATTAAAGGTAAAGGAAGTTTCGAATTCATGCTTTGAGAATCAGATAAATATTTTTTGGCAAATCACCTCTTATAATATGTTCCATAATATTCAAATCAGACTAATTATATAATTGGTTAACTGATATATATTAGGTATGAGTTACTGAAAGCATAAATAAAAAGGAGTATAAAAAAAAGGTTTTTTTTTCCTTTATTGTTATGGGCAAAAAATTAAATTTATAAATATTATGGTGCCGGTTCTCACCTCTTTCGCATTCAGCTTGGATGCAGTGAGGGATGTGGTTGGCGTTGGCTTGCCTAGGGCTGTATTAGTTTCTGTTTCGTTTTAGATTTTCCATTTATTTTTGAAAAAAAAATTGTACATGATTGACGAAAATTACTAAATATTTTTAATTTTCAAAAATATAATTATAATTAACTAAATTATCTTCGCATTTTTTATTTATTTAATAAAGATAATAAATAATATAAATAATTATTTTTTCTTTATTTTCTAAAATGATAAATAATTTGTTAAATAACTAATATTGTAAAATAAAAGAAGTATCAAGTAATCCTGAGCTATGCCATGCTACTATGCTAGTGAGTAGTGCTAGTTCTTGATTTGTGTACATATCATTAATGCAAAGATCTTATTACTAAAAACGAAAAACTTTGTGAGGGTAGTCCCCCATTTTCCTTAAAAAAAAATAGAACTTCTAGAAGTATTCGATTGATTTTTCAGGTTCGATTTTGGTAATACGTTTTTTTCTTGAATAATTATATTCAAAAGTAACATAATCTCAAATTAATTTTGTCACACACATTTTTTAGTTAAAAGTAATTTAAATATTTTCACATACTTCAAAGAATAATATTTTAATATAAAAATAACTCAGAATAAAAAGTTATCACAATTGACTGCAATAAAAATTAATTATATACATATAATAAATACCAATACACACACTCGTATATACGGGTTGATTGTCCAAAATAATATATATATATATAAAAATTATCATAATGATATAGCTTAAATTGTTTTATTAATTTAATATAATCTAATTACTTTTGATTAAGTGGACTCCATTAGGGGGTAAATAGGCTAGGCCGGCCTACAGAGGCCTACGGCTAGCCTATATTAGGTCAGATTTGGCCTATTATAAATAATAAAATAAAACAGGTCTATGTTTTTAAGAAAACCTATTTAAAAAACAGGTCATAGATTTTTTTGTACATAACGGGCTTATAAGTTTACAGGCCGGCTTATATCATATTATTTATTTTAAATAAAATAATAATTTTGCATAATAAAGTAATATTATTTTAGTTATTCTTTTAGTTGTTGAATGTTTAATAGGCTTAAACAGACTAACAGGTCTAGGCCAATATTTTTATTTTTTAAATGTAGGTCAGGCCACACTTGTAATTTGGGGTCTACACAGGTTAACAGGCCAGGTTATACCCAATATCTTTTATACAGACATGACCTATTTAAGTCAAAGTCTAGCCTAGCCTAATCTATTTACACCCCTAAACCCAATACACCAAATTGATTTTGTTTTCCAAAAGATAACCTTATTCCTCTGATGAAAACTAGGGAATCAAAACCAAATAAAAGAAACAAGACTCCCCTGTCCCATCACGCTATCTGGAACAGTGATCAAAGTATCACTGTTGACAAAAATAATTATTAGACTGTCACGTCAACAATAAATTTTATCAAAATGTTACGTGGCATATATCGTTACACTGTGTAGCGAAATATGCTACGTCAGAATGCACAGAACCAAAAAAGCCACTTGTCAAACAGGGAGAATTTCGCTACACTGACGTGGCATATTTCGCTGCACTATGTAGCGAAACGTGACATTTTAGCAAAATTTATTATTGATGTGGCAGTCTGGTAATTTTTTTTGCCACACGCTATCTACTAGCTACCATCCAACAATAAATGCTAATCACGAAAATAAAAAAAGCCAAAAAATATTGAAAGCAAATAACATCAGCTCCTGCCGAGGACTATTTAACAGAGATAGATTTCATTCATCACCATTTAAGCTCTGCCCACTAAATTTCGATATGAATATTTAAGTAATTATAGCATATTTTAGTTTTAAATTTAAATCTAATTCTATTTTCATATTAAAATATTCTTCATATAACACATGAATTTGGCGAAAGAAATAGTTTAAATAGAGATCTCAAATGGAAAACACTAATTAAATGTAGGTAAAAAATTCATTTACAATTTTTTACAAATTATATTATGTACTCCTGAAAATACATAGTATAACCTAGTGTATTTTTTAGAGTATATAATATAATTTATAAGAATTTATAAATAAAAAATTTGTAAATATAATTCTCCCCTTAAATGTATCTAATACATGTGTATTATAATATATAGTATTAGATTCAATCTAAACAAACGTCATATTATACAATTTGAATAACTATACATCTCATATAATTAATTTAGAACAGTAATATATACTAATTCAAATCTAAGCAGTTAATATTATATTACTTTAGAGTACAATAGAGTTAGGATTTCTCAGAAATTTCATACCCTACAATTTTGTGGTAGTTGTTTATAATTAATTCCATTTTTGCTTCCAACAGTGCCATGCCTCCTCAATCCACCCAAATTCTTTCCTTCATGATTAATCGACAATGAGCATGACATGCATGGAGCTGTGTGTTAATTTCTTAAAGGGCTCAACCAGCGACAACTTTGTTGCTCAATAAAACCCTATCCCTAATTAAGGGCTATATTGCTACGGGGAAAAGTTCTTGCTGAATGTGCAGTACTTTTGTCTTATAGTCTTTTTTATCACTAATAGTATCTTATACTTTAAAGAAAATGGTAAGAAGTTAAAGGTTGTGGTTCCAAAACCATA